TGAACTGCCCTTACCAACTTATGCAACTATCTGGCAACTGTTGAACCCCCTACCTGTAGAGTTTTGGTTTGCAATCAGTTATTTCCTGATTTTTAAGTTGTTCAAATCACCCCCAGATCCCTGGTTCTGACCATTGGACTTATATAGGGAATGTGAAATGAAGAGGCAGTAGACAGTTGTTTCAGAGCAAAAGAATCTCTGTGTTTATTTAAAATACAAAAACAAATTCAATGGAAGAAAAATACGTAAATGCAATAAACCAGGAAATTGACACAATGAATTATGCAGAGAACTGTAGTACTTTAAATTACACCATTTACTAACTAGATTAATACTATTAGAACCTTATCCCACTGACACACGCAGCAAACAATAGTTCTAAAAAAGTTTTTAATGAGGATTCCTATCCTGGGGCCCCAATGCACTGTCACCATCCGCTTTCCCCTCCCTGCTAGCTAGGTCGGAATTTTGGGGTCTTGGGAGGTTAAGCTCACTGCTGAGAAACGTGCTTTTGAATTGTGCCTGGCTGTTCCCGCTTTCTGTACCCGGAGCCTGGATGAAGACTTCAGGCTGTGTAGGCTTTTCAGTTTGGGTAGAGTCCGCTAACTCAGTAAGGTGTGTATTGGATCTATCGGGTAAGTATCTAGTTTTCTTTACTTTCTGTTGGTTTTGCGGGCCCGGTCCGGTCACCATCCCATCATTTGCGGAGGTGAAGTTTCAATTCCAGTTGATAGCACTTTTCCAGCACTTTACCTTTTATAGGGATGAAGATAGACAGTTCTATCATTCTGTCTACTGACCACCTACTCTCCCTTGCATTGTGGGGCCACATATCCAGTAAAAAAAAGCTTTCTTTGATTATGTGGAATGTCAGGCACACTCATCATTCTGTAGCAATGAAGTGTGATAACTCCACATATCTCCAGGTCATTAACAGGTAATAGCAGTGCTCCATCCAGTGATTTACACCCCACCCTTACCAGTTGCACACCCATATCTGCCTTCAGATAATGTACATTGCCGTGTGTGCATCCCCTCCCCTCAAAGCTCTGAGAGTCAGCCAAAGCCATGCCCAGATTGCTCCTTGCCATTACATTCCATCTATGCCTGCCTCCATGACAAAGCCTTACTTATTTGTGCAAATCTCAGGAGTTCATCCAGGCCACTGCCAGCTTTGTGCCCAGATATGCCAACCTCCTAATGCCATTGGCACTGCAACCAGTGCAGCTGACCTTCCACATTGAATGTGGTCTGAGAACCCAGGTGAAGGCTATTAATTGGCCTTTTACTGCTTTAATACATGGGCTGGATTGGTGATGGCAGGAATCAGCTAACCTCTTGGTTCAGGGTCCCCATCTGCCCAATACTAGGGCTCCTAAAATTGAACTACATAATACTAGTGTTTCAGGGTGGGAGTAAAGATGGTACAGGTGTCAACTCTCTGAGAACCTCAGTCATAGGCAGATGAAGAATTGGTTACACATTTAAATGGTGTGTTCAATGATATCTTGTGTGACATTCATTTTATACATATCATTTACATGTGTGGGTCATGCACAGAGATCATGAGTTGTCACTGGACAGTTCTAGTTGCCTAAAGGCCTCTGTCGGTTTGTCATATTGGCTGAAATGCGCTGGTACCACTGCCTGCTGCAGAATTGTGTCAACACTGCTGCTACCAAGGTACCAAGTATTAATCTGCATCTTGCACCAAACAGCATCTGTAGCACCAACAATCCAATCAATACGCAACCAAACTGTGTGACCAGTGTTTTCAATGTAGAAAAATCCTAAGGCGCAAACATATGAACATTGATATTGTGTCAAGAATGAAGGTATTAGGAAGGAAAAAGATTTAGATGATCATTTTCAAAGTTTAGGTGAAAGCACATGGCCACCAATGGTAGGGTAAGTGAGCTGGGTGATGCCTAAGTACCAGAATTCAAGAAGTGCAGAGGTCTTGCAGATTTATCTGACTGGAGAATACTACAGTGATAAATCAAAAATGTAGTTGTATATAAGGATAAGACTTCTAAATTAGAGCCATTAGGGGAGTCAAAGCCAGCTTAGGTTAGTAAAGGGTTGTTGATTGGGACTGATGTTTCAGATATTGGCAGTGATGATTTAGATAATCTGAAGCTTACAGACTGAAGAATTCAAGTAGTTGAATCTGGAGATGACAATCGCTTTGACAGCAAATAATATGTGGTAGCATTGGAGTGAAACATTGTTACAAAGTGATTGAATCTTTTATTACTCTGTCATTATATTAAAAGAAGTTTGTTGTCAGTGTATTTATACTGAACCATCCAACTGAAACCATGACTAGATTTACCTGATTCCACAAGATACACTTGCAGATCTTAACCTGTCTATTTTAAATGAAAATTGCTGAGGTTTGGAGCCCTTCAAAGCTTTTGAAGAATGGTAAATAATCTGAGGTGATGAGCAAAGTTCATTTTACTGACGAGAACATTATGCAGGTGTGAAAGTCAGTGCCAGTATCAATTCTTTAAAAATCAATTGCAAGGATTCATGAATTTGGTCAGTCAATTACTGCAAAATTATTAGACTGCAATCTGCAGTAATCCTGGTTATAATGGTGGAAACAATGTATTGTAATAAGATCAGTCTTCTTCAGTCCTATTGTCTCTCCATTACTTTATGGTGACTAGATTACTGAACAATAAGGGAATAATAAGGCAAACGTAACACAATTGATATCTTCATAACTATGATTTATTATGTTTCAAGACCACACTGCCAAATTTCACTTGTGACATGGCTAAGCACCAGTTCCTTTTTTAAATGGACCAAGTTTAAATTCCTGGTACTTACTTAGAAAATAAAGCCATGAGATCCTATAGTTTTAAACAAACAAACAACATGAAATATTACTGTACAAAGTCAGAAAATTAATACTATCTACTATATAATATAGCTAATATTCTAATATCAGAATTAACCTGAGCTAAATATGGATAATAGACAAACTGCAGTCCCAAAAACCCTCAAGTACCTTGACACTATCCACCACAAGGAGGTGAATTACTCAATGCAGGATTCCTAACAAATGACCTTCAGTTGTAGCTACTCTATTTATGTGGCTAGTTCAGTTTAGCTTCTGGACAATGGTAACTCCTACAACGTTGATTGTGGGAGCTTCAGCCACGGTAATGCCATTAAATGTTAAGAAATGATGGTTAGATTTTCACTTGTCGGAGATTGTCATTGCCTGGCACTTAGAATCATAGAATCCCTACAGTGTGGAAACGGACCATTTGGCCCAACAAGTCCACACCAACTCTGCGAAGAGCATCACACCCAGATTCACCCTGTAACCTTTTCCTGTAACCCTGCATTTCTCACGGCTAATCCACCTAACTTACACATCCCTGGACCTATTGGCAACTTAGCATGGCCAATCCACTGAACCTCCACGTCTTTGGACTGTGGCCAGAAACTGGAGCACCTAGCGGAAACCCATGTTTTGTGGGACAAATGGAATCAATTTTACAGTACCGAAAGAGGTCATTCAACCCATCATGTCTGTATTGATAAATGTTGCTTTCCACTTGTTAATTCACACCTGGATACTGTCCAGGTCTAGGTGCCTTTCATGGTGGACTGCTCCCTTATCTGACCATTAGTGAATGGTGCTGACCATTATGCAATCATCAGCAAACATCCCCAGTTCTGCCCTTATGATGGAGCGAAGGTCATTGACAAAGCAGCTGAAAATGGCTGGGCCTAGGACACTACCTTGAGGAAAACCTACAGAGGTGTTCTAGAGCTGAGATGACTGACCTCCAAAACCTGCAGCTATTTTCCTTTGTGCTAAGTATGACTCTAACCAGTGGTGAGATCTCCATCTGATTTCCATTGACCCCAGCTTTGCTAGATTTCCTTGATCAATCAAATTTGGCACTGATGTCAACTTTCACCTCACCTGGAATTCAACTGTTTTGTCCATATTTGAACCAAGGGTGTAATGAGGTCAAAAGCCAGTGATCCTGATGGAACCGGAACTGGTTTTTAGTGAGCAAGTTATTGCTAAGCAGACGTTGCTTGATAGAACCATTGATGACACCTTCCATCACTTTAATGACGATCAAGAGTAGACTAATGAACAGATTGGTGAGGGTGAGGTCATAAATGTTTCTCCCTCTTGGTTCCCTGATTACATCCCACAGACCCAGTCTATCAGCTATTTCCTTTAGGATTCAACCACCAAATAAGCCATACTGACATTTTGTGTTTCCACTGAATATCTTTGCTTTCCAGGAGAATATTTTGAAATGCAGTCATGTACAGTTCTTGTTTTGTAATTATTTAATTTGCATCAAAAATATATGCCACATTTATTGGAGACAAATGAAAAGCTGTGTTACTACACATTTAATTCCTAACAATGATAGGTCATTTAATCTGTATGAATATCGGTTATATAGGAAGACAGGAGGAGCTAGTGGTTCAGCCATAGCATTCCCTTCTCTGAGTCAACAGGTTTGGATTTGGGCCCCACTTCTGGCAGCAGCAAACAGAGTACTGATACTGAATACTGGGTTTATATCCAATAGCATTAGTTGGGAGCAATGTGGCAAAACCCTGTTTTGTGCGTACATGAGACTCGTTAGGCTTTGTTGCAAACCACCTGGAAGAAGGTAGGCTGAAGTTCAAAAGTGTGAGGAAGGCAATGGTAAACCAACAAAATAGTTGCATTAAGGGCTGTTTTCTACAGTGGTGAATGCAAATGTCCAGTTATGAAATTCATCCATAAGAAAAATCATTGCCCATGGACAAAAATAGTATAGCAATTTCCAAAATTCCAAAATTATATAATTCTGACATTTTCTCATATAACAATTCATATTTTCAAGAATATAGTTTCAAGAGCATTTATACATGGTATAAAACTTTAAATCATGTCGTAAGATTTTCATTGAATAATTTTTACTTACACTCCATGACACCAACAACCATTTTCTAATCTCACACAGAATGCCAAATTTAGAAGAATCAACATGGGCTGGAGAAGATGAAGAGGTAACAGAGCATCCTTATTATAACAGTATTCCAGGGAAAATCCCTCCTCCTGGTGGGTTTATTGATGTCCGACTTAGAGAAACTCATCAGCTAGGGTTGAATCAGATTCTGCCTGAACATTGTTTTAATGTTAATCAGGTTGGTAAATTTTGTGTGACTTATATTTCTCAATGTATTTTTATTGGCTTACATATTTTAATGTATTAATTCCTTGAATCAAGTCTTAAAGTTAGATAATTGAAGCTTGATGTTTTGCTTATTAACTGTTTTAATTGTGATGAGATTGCTCCAAGCAACTATTGTGCATTCTGTTCTAATGTAGCTTTCAAAACACCAAATATGAAAGCAGGTATTACAAAAAATCTATATAAAGCACATTCATTTCTCGAGCCATGACTAAAATGACCATTATTTCTGTTGATTAGAGATAGATTTATCTATTCAGCATTGGCTTATTGAGTAATAAGATTCCCTACATGATAGTAATACTTACAGAGGATAATAACAAATGTTTTATTGTTTATCTGCAGTGTGTTGGATTGTCTCACCCAGTTTATCAATAAGTGCTAAATGTTACAGTGATGTTCCATAGACTGCAGCTATTCTTTTGTTTTATGCAAGTGACTTGTCTTCAGATATGAGCCTAAATGGTGAGCAACAGCTGGCTAAACAGCAATGGGCATCACATCTGATGGCCCCAGAATCAAAGATTACTGAATTGGAATCCGAGAGAAAGAACTACTACTTCCTCTCTATAGTTAAGCTAAGTTGCGTTGTAGCATCCTGCACACTTCTGTTTGCATTTCAAGAAAGGGCACAGAATCACATAATTGTTACAGCAAAAAGAGGCCATTGGCCCATTGTGTTTATACCAGCTCTCCAAATTAACAGTTCGGTCATATTAAGAAGAGAAGTATTGAAACACTGGAGAAGATGCAGGAAAAGAATTACAAGAATGTTACCAGAGTTGAGACTTTATACCTATCAGGAACGAGTGCACAGGTTAATTCACTTTTCTCCAAGATCAGAAACCTCATTGGATGAATTCAAGTTTGAGGATTTGCGAAAGATAGGAACAAGTTTTGTAGATAGCAGCGTGTTCAAGAACTGTAAAGAGGAAAGGGTGGTTTGAGATAGGAATAGTTTGTAAGGATGGAGGCATCAAGAATTGATTTTTGAGGAAAGGGGGGATGTTGGCATACTTAAGGGAAAGGATGGCAACACCTAAAGAGAGAAAGCGCTTACAATATCCCCGAACATGGGGTCTTGGAAGAGAAGTTAAATGATCTACAGTTTACAGGGAATAGGATCATGGTAACAGGAGATGGGTCTCATGAAAAGATGAGCTCAGAGAGGACACGAGGGGAGATGAGTGAAACTAATGAAAGAAGCAAGTTTAGGGCAAAGCAAGGGGTAGGTTGCCCTGGTGAGTCAGTGGAAATGAGGGAGTTTGCAGAGGCAGTGGACCAGAAATGCATACCTTGGACTCAAACGAGCGTGGATAAGGGCCATACTACAAGAAATGGCCAGGATGAGAGAGAATGCTTACTGGGGAGTAGGAAACCAAAAGTGAAGATGAGGTCATGATTGAGTAAATCAGTAGCTGAATTAATGTTGTGGCTAATGGAAAGCTAACATCTCGATTGCTGAGATGTTGAATGCAGTTGTAAGTGAATCACAACATTGTTTTTTCCAGAAATGATAAAGGAGCTATAGAGTAGTGGTTCAGAACATAGAAAGGCTAAGTGGTTGGTGAATAATGTAAGAAGTGTTTAAATAGGATCTTATCTGTGAATGAAACTATGCAAGCAATGAGATTAGGTAAGGTTGAAAGCTCAAAAGGGGTGTGAATATGTGTTGAGGAATTTACCAAGAAGGAGAGCTTTATGGAGGACAATTATTTGTTGAATCATTTATTAATTTATTGCTCCTTCTTAATTGGCTTGATAAGATTGTACTGAGCAGTCTTCTTGAACAATAGTCCATGTGGTGTAGATACAGCCACAGTGCTGAACCACAGAGCTCCAGTGTTCTGACACAATGATGATGAAGCAATAATTACACATTTCCAATTTGGTGTATGCCTTGGAGGGAAATTTGGCGGTCATGGTGAACCCACCATGTGCTTATTGTCCTTGTCACCTTGGGTAATTGCAGATTAGGGAGGAGTAGTCAAAGTAGCCTTGGTGAATTGCTGTAGAGCATCTTGCAGATGATTTGTAATGTTGAAATGGTACTCCAGTCGCAGAGAAATTGAATATTTAAGGTGGTGGGTAGGGTGCCAAACAAGTGGGCTGCTTCACCCTGGATATTGTTCTACATCTTGAGTGCTGTTAGAGCCAAACTCCTCCAGGCAAGTGAGAACTATTCCATTACACTCATAAGTTGTGCCCTGTAGATCGTGGACAGACCGTGGGGGGATAGGAGATGAGGTACTGGGTGCAGAGTTCCCAGCTTCTGGCCTGCTATTATAGATGCAGCATTTATATGGCTAACCAAGTTCTGGTTAATGCTAAGCCTTTGGAAGTTGAGAGTGGAATAATTCAGTGGCAGTAATGACATTGATGTCAAAGGGAGACTGCTAGATTCTCTATTGCCATAGACGGTTATTACTTAGCATTTGTGTGACTTCTACTTCGCATCCCAACCTGAGTGCTGTCCTGTTCTTGCTGTGTGTGGACACAAGCTGCCTCATTTTCTGAGGATTTGCAAATACGATTGAATGCTCAGAAATATTACCACTTCTGACAATGTGATCAATCAAAATCATTGATGAAGCAACTGAAGTTAGGTTAGCCTACGACACACTCTGAGGAATTACTGCAGGGATATTCTGGTACTAAGATGTAGTCATTGACAACCACAACCATCTTTCTTTTTGCAAGTTATGGCTCCTGCCAACAGAAATTTGAGTTTAATTTTGATAGGGATCTCATTAAAAAGTTGCCTTGATTTCAAGAGGATTCACTCTAACTTCATCTCTGGAAGTCAGCTCTTTTGTCCATATTTGGTCCAAGGCTAGGATGAGGTCTAGATCGGAGAGGGTCTGGGGTAGAATTAAATGGAGCAAAACAAGAGGCATCAATTAAAATTTAGACAAAGAATAGTTAATATGATCATTAAAACACAAGACATATAACAGAACAGATGATGAGTTACAGCCGTAGTATGTGGGCACTGGTAAATACCAGTGTGATCCACAGTAACCATACACACTCTAAGTGTTTTTGGCTTGAGAAACTTTAGTTCAGATTGAATAACCTACAGACACTACAATGCCTCAAAGAGGGGTACGTTGCCCAGAGACTTTGTTCTAAAAGGGAATTGTACCCCTTGGCCTAGGGTATTCCAATGTGGTCCATGGTTGGTACAGGAGAGCGTGACTGTAAATGAAGCTGTGTGGGGATTAAAAAGGCAGATGTGGAAGACATTCAAACTTTGGAGTTAACCAAAGGTTTTGTTGTTCTTGTAGCTTGCTTGGATGAGAACAGGGCATACAAAGTGGATGACCTTGGTAAAATGGTGCAGAGAGCCATTTAAGTTGGACTTGATAATAGATGTGATAGATGTAGTGGTAGCAGAAGATAGCATAGTTTGGGGATGGACACAATTTTCTGCAGCTGAGAGCATTAATTTAGAATACTATATTACCTGGGGCGGCATGGTGGCTCAGTGGTTAGCACTGCTGCCTCACAGTGCCAGGAAACCGGGCTCGATTCCACCCTTGGGCAACTGTCTGTGTGGAGTTTGCACACTCTCCCCGTGTCCACGTGGGTTTCCGCCGGATGCTCCAGTTTCCTCCCACAGTCCAAAGATGTGCAGGCTAGATAGATTGGCCATGCTACATTGTCTGTAGTGTTCAGGGATGTGTAGATTAGGTGGTTTATAGGGGGATGGGTCTGGGTGGGATGCTCTGAGAATCGGTGTGGACTTGTGGGGCCAAAGGGCCTGTTTCCACACTGTAGGGAATCTATGAACTATGACCTGTGATCTGTCCAGTGCCAGGGTTTGGGACATCTATTTGCGGTTAGAGAAGAACTTGCGGTGGAACAAGGAGGATTGAATTAGTGTGCTCTATGTGGGTATCTGCTAAGGGAGTATAAGCAGCTACGAGGGATATAGAGTCATACAATCCTACAGCCTGCATTTGGCCCACATCACTTTAAACCTTTCCTACTCATGTATCTATCTAAATGTCTTTTAAATGTTGGAATTGCACCTGCATCTACTACTTCCTCTGGCAGTTCATTCCGCATACAAACCACTCTGTGTGAAAAAGTTACATCTCAGGTCCCAAATGAATCTTTCTCCTCTCACCTTAAAATTATGCCCTCTGGTTTTGAACTCCCCTACCCTTGGGAAAAGACCTTTGCTATTCACCGTGTCTATGCCCCTGATGATTTTATAAACGTCTATAAGGCCACTAGTAATCTCCTACATTCCAGGGAAAAATGTCCCAGCCTATCCATCTTCTCTTTTTAAACTCAAAACCTCCAGTTTCGCTAACAATTCTTGTAAATCTTTTCTGCACCCTTTCCAATTTAATAACATCTTTCCTATAGCAGGGCAACCTGAACTGTACACTGTACTCCAAAAATGGCCTCACCAACATACAAGCTCAACATGATGTCCCAACTCCTATACTTAGAAGTCTGAGCAATGAAGGCAAGTCTGGTAAACGCCTTCTTCACCACCCTGTCTACCTATGTCGCAGCTTGCAATGAACTATGTACCTGAACACCTAGGTCTCTGTTTGTCATCACTCCCCATGTCCTTACCATTAACTGTGTAATTCCTGCCCTTGTTCATCTTATCAAAATTCAACATCTTGCATTTATCCAAAATAAACTCCATCTGCCATTTCTTGGCTTATTGGCCCAGATCAAGAGCCTGGTGTACTCTTAGATAATCTTCTTGACTGTCTGCTATACTGCCAATTTTGGTGTCATCCGTAAACTTACTAATCATGCATCCTATATTCTCATCCAAATTGTTTATCTAAACAGTGGACCCAGAACTGATCCCTGCAGAACACCACTGGTTACAGGCCTCCACCACCACCCTCTGACATTTATTTAAAAACAGAACCAGAGAAATAATAAACTCTCCACATTACTACTCAGGTCACAGGCAAATTGGCATAGGGTGAATAAAATTAGAGATTTTAATGCATGACTGAAAGACTTTTGTAATAGAAAAGGATTTTGATTCATAGGGCGCTAGCACCAGTACTGGGGTAAGTTCCACTGTACCACTGGGATGGCCTTCTTCTGGACAATGTTGAGCCTAGTATTCTGGTGGGTCACATAACAGGGCAGTACAGGAGGCTTTGAACTAAATAGCAGGGATGAGGGATCATGTGAGGAGTGATGTTGTCATTCAACAAGGAAGGACTAGGCAATAGAGCAGTGCTGATAAATTAGCACAAAATATTGATACTACATTCACCCATAGCTACAAAATCCTTCTGCATTTTTATTACCATTGATTGAAAAATAAACAGATAAGTATAAACAACAAATGCATGAGACTCAAGTTGGGAAAAAAAGAACGGATATCATTCCAAAGAAAGAAATGTTTGTATTCTTTTAATCTTTCTTACTCTGTGTTGTTTTAGGCATGGAACCCTTTAGTGTTGAACAATTTTACTTTGTTACTGTAGCCAGTGTTAGCCATAGGACAAGATCAAAGCTACTATCAAGGGCCGGACCTGGGCGAGAACCACAGTGAAGACTGGAGACATGCACTCGGCAAATATGGTAAATAATAACCTTTTGGGAAATAGCTGTCACTGAAACAATAGGTAAATTCACACGAGAAACTGAGTAAAGTGAATGAGATTCTAGGTATCCTCCATGAATGTGGTCAATAGAGAGCACTGTGTCAGATTTTTACTCATTAAATAGACTGCTAATATATTACCATGGAAGAGTTCTAAATATCATTTGAAAAAGTACAACACAACCATGTAAATTATGTCAAAAATGTATTGTGCATCACATGGAATGACATAACCATTAGAAACAGCATACTGCCTCTTCTGAGCATTTTTTTTCCACAGAAAAAGAAAATTGTTGAACACTTTTTTAAGCGAAATGATGATATTTCACACTTCAGTATTACTGATCCATGTCAAGACATACACAAAACAACAGAGGACAACAAAACAGAGATCATTCAATCTAGTATGTCTGTGCTGGCTCTTTACTATAATAATTCAGAACTAATCTCATGATCCATTGGCAGCAGTGTGCACCATCTACAAGATGTACTGTAACAACTCACCAATATTCTTCCAATATAAGGTGGTGTTTAAACTTTTTTTAAAAATTGTGTTTGCTGTTTGTACTTGGGCTGTAAATTTGTCATCTGCTGAAAATGGACATGAGGAATGTTGTGGAAAAATTAAGTTGTGCCAATTTAATGGACTTCAGGCAGTATATCAACATTTTGCTGCCTCTAATTGTACAGAATACTGCATGCAGTCAACACTTCCAGTACTGTTCATTGGTTGTAATAAATTGGCACCAACTTGACACAGGCATTGTGAAGAAATTGGAACCTACTCTTTCCAGCTGTCCAATTCAATCAACACAGTTGTGGAACCAACCATGTCTGTTACTGGTGCCTTAGCTTTCATTGTGGTACAAATAGCGGGAACCCAATGTCTCACTGCTGTGGTGGAAGCTCCGATAGATGCCATCATCCTGTCTCTACCAATGTTCAAACATTTGCCAGGGTATCACAACACAGAGAGATAGATGCTAGTGTGCTGGTCAGTGACAGACAGAAGATATGGAGTGTGGGACTGTAGGTGAATGAGGGTTTAGAGTATATTTTTGTTACAAGCTGGCTTGATCGTCCACAATCTTTTAAAGAATAGAATGCATGAAAGAACCAAGAGCAAGAAAATAAGTGCAAGGATTCCAGAGTTGAATTGAAACATCAAAAAAAAACTTTTTCATACAAATTTGCACAAAATAAACACTTAAAAATGACTAGATAAGTTGACAGGTAAGACAATGATTCTAAACCATATACAATGCATATGGAATTTAGACTCTAACTTTCAAGATTAACCTCAAGTAAATATTAATTAAGAGGCAAATAATGGTCAAAACTCCATAAGCATCACTTTAAATGGACAATGCCATGAATGCAAAGCCCGCCAGGCATTAGCAATACTGTAGGTGACCAAATCTTATTAAATTTTATCACCTCGACAAGGGATTCCAATTTTTCACTTTTGCTGATGTGGCTTCAGAACTCCCTCAAATGTCTGTACAACCGAGACTTCCTGAGTGATTACTCATATGCTAGTAGTTCCATACCTTTGCTTGAGATCAAGTTAGCCAGGATTTCTGAGACTGTGCCCAAGGATCTAATTATTGACACAATATCAGAATTTATCAAATTTCATCCAGTTCCAGTTAACCAGTTTCATCAAGCTGCTGCTGAGTTCCTCTAAACTTCAATATTTCTTAGTTGCATCATATAAATATTGTTTTTGTACTTCTTTATGCCACTTTCAGCTGAATAAACTATCAATGATTCCTGGGACTACTATCCTAACCACCTAGAGTCTGCTATCAGCAGACAACCTTCTTAAGCTCCACTGATCTGTACGACAATTATTTTTAACTCCCCTCAGTTTACTGTAGCAAAGTTTTAAATAAAATTTTAAATCACAACTATATCAAACTTCAATTAAAATGTTGTTCTCATCAAGTTTAAGGGTCAATTACATTGTTTTCTTGATTGGATGATGGAGGAATTTTATTACTTATTAACCCTCGGAAAAGTAGCAAAACACATCAAATATGCACTAAATAAGGTATAAAGTTTCACACGGGGACAGCGTCTCATACGAAAGAGAAGATCAGAATAGGCATTTTGGAGGAATCTCCTTATCCCTGAATTATTAAATTTTATCTGAGTATTGGTTGTTAAATTGGTGTCTTGTAAACTCAGCAGTGGGGAAATTTGTAGATATCTTTGCATTTTCAATGCATGGATATTTCTCCAATTTACTCTATCATTAGGCAATGCTGTATGAGTAGCTGAGAGAAGCAGGGAAAGGGAGAGAGAAAGAACAAGCAATCCAGCTCTACTGTTATGGATCTATTTTCTTCGCGCTGCCACAAACACTTTTACTTGAAATACAGTTCCTTTATGCATTCATGTTTCTGACTTCACTTTTTCCCAGTTGGATAACTTGTAGGCGACTTTCATCCCAATATGTGAAACTTACCAGCAGATACTGATCAAAGTTTCAAAGCCTTTTTATAATAATGTTAATTTTGGTTTAGGTTGATTTCTTGTTAATGGATGGTTTCATGAGCTTGGGTCAACCTCATCAGGTGACCACTGTGGCCATCTTGAATCAATGTTTTTCCTTTTTAGGTATTTCCTTTTCACAGGTATTAAAATCTGATGATGGAAGTTGAAAATTGATAATCCCTTTTTACCACTTAAGACCTAAAAACCTGCCCTACATGCTTTTAATCTAACTTCAATCTCTTTCCCTCTCAACTGCCATTACTGCAAGATTTACAGACCCCACGACACCACTAAGTAAGCCATCTGCTCTAGTTCCGTTTTTTCTATTCTGATTCTATTAAATAGACATGGGTAACTTTCTTTGCTGTCACTGTTTTAAGTATGTTCAGTAATTAAAGCCCAGCATTTTAAATACCTCAGCTTTCTAGCCATTGAACTCTTAAAGCAATATATCCCCAACCTTTTGGTACATGAGTCTTAAAGATGCTTTAATTGCATTTATCCCATTTTCTACTTTAAACTTAAATTCCTCAAATTTAACAAAAATACTAAAACACAGGAACCATGAACTAGATTTTCACAACCATGGTCACACCTTCTGTTTTCGTTACATGGGAGGGTTGATATGTAGTGTATGCAAAGCATTGTGTATGCTGCTAATGACACCTTGCTCCATGGGAAAGCACGTAATTCTTGCAAAAGCTCACGGTCACTCCATTTTCCTCTCTCTGGTTGGAGGCAATGAAATGAAGTTCTCTCTTTTATTAAAGTGCCTCAGTGCCTTATATAGCGGCACACTGCAGACTTTGATATGCTGCTAATATCTCCACCAGCAGTCTAAAAAGAGCCAGATTCATAAAGGTTTATAGCCACTCTCACATTCACAACAATTTTCACTGTATTCTTTACCATTCGCTGAGGTTACGTTTGCAACTACAACTTAGTGAAGTGTTCAAACATTATCTCATACTTTTATTGTCACTGACAATCAAGTACATGAATTGCTTCCCTCAGTGTTTTGCCCCGGATATGGCTTCATGATGAGAATTGTACTCCCTTTCTTTTCCCTCCTCCCTCTTCCAGCACTTTATTTTGCTCTTCCTCTGCTCATCCTTCCAAACATGCTCAATCTTAAGAGAATTGCATACTAGGCTACCAATGTATGGAAACAACTAGTTTCTGAACAAATCTTTAAGTCACCAAGAATAGACTTCCACATTAGCTACATTACTTCTTGCATATTACTGAAACTGTAGAATTGTGGCAACAGCCAGAAGAAATAATCCAGCAACTGACTTGTAGTTGGCTGATCATTTCTTCAAATACTACAGGTTGAGGGTTTGTCATGCCAATAAACATGTGTTCAACTGTGGGAGATAGGGAGGGAGTAGGCTGAAGTATGCAGCTTCAAAATTACAATGTTGGTACCAAATAAATAGTACTTGCTGATTGTCCTCGTGATCTGTCTGCTCTGCATTCTTCTGACAGATGTGTGTGCTCTTTGATCCCTTTACCAATACACAGTCCATCCTTCTTCTGACAGAATGTATATACGTGTCACAGACACCATTTTGGAAGAACTTCTCAGCCCTCAGAACATAGGTAATGCTGTGCTGAGTGTTGTCCGCTAAACCTTTGGTATAGTTCATAATTGGGCAAACCATCCTAAATATGACCTGACCATTATAAAGCCTTATCATATATTTTGCAGATTTATACTTTCAGCATATATGTAATGTATTGTACTTACGATTACAGAAGATTTTCAAACATGGAAAAATACTACATAATTGATGTGTCAGGCCATGAACGCCCACTTGTAGATTATGAAACAACCCATCCAGTCATTACTAGTATGTCGCTAATGACTGTCATAATCTAGGAGTGACATGTAAAAATATCTTTTTAGATAATGAGTAAATGCATTCTACTATGAAATGATCTGAACTTCATCTTTTTTATATTCTCCATAGCTCCTTGAGATTTAGCAAAAACAATAGAAACTGAGCAATAGACCAGTCCCTCCTTTCTTTGCATAGATATCTGAAACAATAGAACAATGAATTGATTGTGTTCTGAAGAACGGTCACTGGGCTCAAAAGTTTGAGTCTGCTTTCTCTCCACAGATGCTGCCAAGCCTGCTGAGTTTCTTCAGCTTTTTCTGTTTTTATTTGTAATGATTTGATACTAGTTCATAACAATGATGGAATACCAAAGCTTACAAAAATAAAAAGACCGTCACAACTCAAAAGTGATAAAAGCAAAAGAGACAGAAATTCCACAAAGCCTTTAGAGAAGGAGTAAGTAAATCAGTTTAGGATTTCTATCCACCATTCTGCTCTACCTTTGACCCTGATGGAGTCAGAGATCAAGTCATTGGAATATTCCAAGTGAGCACCTACACCTAGAGCACTCTGACAGAGGCAATGAAGGGTTGGGAAGCAGAGCAACCACGTGTCATTTCAAGGTAGGACATCTGAGGCCAGAATTACTGCTCATAATGTGATTTCCTATACATTAGGGAGACAAAGCATGGAATCAGGCTGAAGAAAATTGTCTGCATAATCTTTACATTCCCCTTGAGGAAAAGATGGATAAATTTATTACAGATTTCTTGATTCTGCTAAGATCAATATTCTTTATTTTTCTTTATCAATAGACTCACAGTGGAACTTACATCTGTTCTTTGCAGACAGGTCAGTAATGAGTCAGGCTGGCTGAAATTCCTAATGTAATCTGAGATTCTTTACAAACACTGTCAAGGTTACTCTGTATTATTGTGAAGATTAGGCCCGGAAGTTCATTCTTCACTGAATTTTTTATGGACTGTAAATCCAATGGATCCAGGTTCTTGTCCACAATTATCCACAATCCCAAATCCTCCTATCTACTCCTTTGTTTAGAAGTAATTACTTAAACTTCCCTTACGTATTCCTTATTTGAAATTTGCAGGGTCCTCTACTGATTTATGCGTTCGATCGGAGGTGAGACCTTCATTATCCAAAGATGGAGAAGTACCAACATATGTCAACACTCAACATCTAGATCTCCAGGCTCTAGCAACATTGCAAGTACATCCCAGCACTAACACAGGAACCAATGAATTGACAAATAATAATGAAAACCAATCAAAAAAAGATGTCTTTGATATGAGTAAGTTTAGATCTTACTTTCATTCTTCTTGAAGTTTCAATTATGTCAGAATCATTTGACATTCAGTTATAGACAGCCATTTTAATCAATCTATTAAGATATATTATGACATATCTCTGAAGCAGGTGGAACTTGAACCAAGGTCTTTTGGCTCAAAGGTGTTTGGGTGGGTGGTACCAATGTACCACAGACCCCTCAGCGTTCAATTACACATTGGTGATTATAAACAAAAAAAAGTCTTATGCTCTGTCGTTTATTTGTGATAGTCAACTGTGGATGGCTACCCAATAAACTGTTTGATTCTGCCACGCCACTACCTCAACGTAAATTTTAGCTCAAATTTTGCTGTAGTATGCAGTCGTGTTAGTTAGACCTTTTTCTTATTGTTTAAAATGTTACACTTTTGCCTGCAATGTTACTGGAAGTGCAAGCTAACAATAATACAACGCATATAACAAGAAATCTGTCACCTTACTGAACAATGAGGAAAACAGTATATCTCTTAACCAGTTAGATTGTGTTACAAGTACACTTTATATTTAATATTGTTTAGAAGACTACATTTTGTGAATAGTGGAAAATGGACTTTTTCAATTTTGTGGAAATACCTGGAGTAGTTTCTTTAAAAGACATTTTGAAAGTTCATTATGGAAATTGGAGACTTTGTTTTAACAAAGCTTCTTATCAATCACATAACAGATGATAACTGCTTGCTTTTCCTTATATCTCTATTGTGGCTGTTTGGAACAGTGACTTCTCTGGAGATGGCTCTTGTTTAATCTGTTCAGTTGGAGGGGAGACTTCCAAGAACAAGACAAATTGGAAGAAACCTTGTTAAGATCAAGCTTCCCAGCTGATCTCTCTAATTTCTACAATTAAAACCCTTTTTGTTGAGTTCAGGGCAAAATCTATTTGTTCTGTTGAAAGAGCACACAAGATTATATTTCCTGAGCAAATAAGACCACGTGACTTCCGAGATTGTGTGTGTGTGTGTGTGTACTTTTACATTACTGACTGTGAATGCTAACTAATGCAACTTCATTAAATCATAAACCAAATAATTCTGATTATTAAAATACCTGATTGTTACATTTTGTTATTTAAAGCTTGATATTTAATTGTTCTGCTTAGTAACTGGAAGAAGTATTTATTTTATGTGGTGATGCATGAAGTAGTTGGACTCGAGAGACATTGCACTGCTCCAGCTTCAGACATAACAATTCGAGGATTGTGAAATAAACAGACAAAGGATTGGCAAGATAAGTGGATTAAAGTAGGCAATTTCAAATGAAGAAAGAAAAAAATGAATCAAAGAGAACTTGTATAAGATAAGAGAACAAAAAGATACAGAAATGAAATCTTTTTTAAAATTAAGGTAATATTTAGCACTTTTTACATTTTTGAAAACAATTGACGATCTGAAGGAATGAGATGTCACATTTATAACTGTACACTTTTTGAGCAATGAAGTTTGACTGGCATTCATTAACAATTATTATATTAGTAACAGGGTACTTATGCCATTAATTACTAGAATTAACAGGTTAAAGAACAAGTACAGCAATTCATGCAAACTTCAAGGAGGTAAGTTGTTAGTTTTAAATCTGTGATAGATACATTTTTGTTAGATATTAGTTAAGTATCAGTAAGTATTTTATTCGGTATTAAAGGATATGGGCCAAAGGCAAGTATGTGAGTTAGACCGCAGATCGCATTCAATAGCAGAACAAGTTCAAGGGCTTACTCCTATTCTTAAGTTTCTACATAAAGCACAAGCTAAGCTAGCAGAACTTGTGATTGTGATGCATTGCAATTCATGGGGTCTATCATGGTTTTGATGAGTCACAGGTTGATTAGACAATCAGAAGGTTATTTGTTATGAGGGAGAAACTATATACGTAAATCGTGTATCGGATTAACGATCTTCGTCTTGAGTTTTCTGCCTGAAGGTAGATCTGACCCACAGTGGTGCAATCTCCACCACAGGTGGAGCAAGAAGGCAGTTGAAAATTCCACATCAGCCAGAAATGGAATCGAACCCAAACTGATCAATTACATATTGGCAATGCATCTTCTGTAGGTGCAATATGGTGGTTTATCCTCCACCTCTAATCACTAAGTAGGCCTAAGACAAAGCAAGACCAAAGACTTGGTGACAGCAAACTACTTCAAACAAAACCTTACCCAGTACTATATACTGGTAGAGGTGGAAAATACCACCAAGTACCAGGAGTAGTTACAGGGGGACAATACCACATATTTGTAGTGGTCTTAATCTGACTCCCCCTGGAAAAGAAATCCAAAAGTCTCCAAAAAAAAAAGGAAACCTTCAAGAAAGTGAGTTTACACTACAATAGCATGACTGCCTTAAGAAGACACAAACAATCAATCAACAACTGAAACATGATTATTGACATGGAAACTGCAGTAGCCATAGAAGTGGTAAAATGACAAGCTTATTACTCCAAAGGTAAAACCTCATTCAGAGTTGATAAGAGTGTGGTCTAGTTTAAAAAAAGAAAAGCCAGCTACACTTATAAGATACCTCAGTTAAGTAGAAACTGAGGGCTTCAGAAAGTAAAGTTTGTGATTGCTAAGTGAAAAGGGAATAACTTTGAGAAATAGCACTACAATTAAAAATTGGAGGCAAAGGAATGTAGAAGAGATTCTTCACTCTCACAACAAGCATTGTTGTCACTTACGTTAAGCTGCACAATGCACAGCTACAAGGAACAGTGAATAAGGCAGGAATGAAATTTAAATGAGGACCATAGAATTGGGAAGGACTCAAGATTTGTTTAAGTTGAAAATGAGCAAATGTTAAGAAATCTGTTCAAAAAGTCTGACAGAAAAAGAATATTCAGGAAAAATTACAGACTTAAAAGGGCTGAGGCTCAGTAATTAAGACATGGTTCTGGCAGGAAGATCTAGGAAGGCTACATCCAGAGAATAGTATGAACTGCATATGCTGGAGAAAGAGATAACACAGTGTTGAGCTGGAGGATCACAGCAAGCCAGGCAGCATCAGAGGAGCTGGAAAGTTAACATTTCGGGACATGTCCATCCTGGGCCTCATCCAGTGTCACAACAATGCCACCTGCAAACTGGAGGAGCAGCACCTCATATTCCGCCTCGGGAGCCTTCAGCCCAATGGCCTAAATGTGGATTTTACCAGTATCAAAATCTCCCCAAGCTCCGGCCTCATCCCATGACCAACTCTCCCTCTCATTCCCGCCTTCCTGACCTGATATAACCTGTCCATCTTCTCTCCCACCTTTCCGCTCCTCCCATCCCACTGACCAATCCCCACCACTTCCTACCTGCACTCACCGATCACCGTCCCAAATACCTTCCCCAGCCCCATCCCTCCTCTATTTATTTCTGAGCTCCCTTCTCCCTCCCCCAGCCCTCCCCATTTCTGTAGAAGGGTCCTGACCCGAAACATCAACTTTCCTGCTCCTCTGATGCTGCCTGGCCTGCTGTGCTCCTCCAGCTCTACACTGTGTTATCTCTACATCTGGGGAATTTAAAAAAATTGTGTAAAACAAAGAACTTTGTGTTTTAGACCACAAGAGGCAGGATATTGCCCATATTATATGGCAAGAAGTGGGAAGACACAATCTTGGCTGACAAAACAAAAAGTGGGTAGCCACTATTTTAACCATTGTGAGAAGTGGGAACACTCTAGAAAAGGTGGGAAAACCCAGTAAACAGTAAATACAGTATTACAAAGAAACAGATTTAAAACTCTTGAAGGCAGAAAGATACTTCAGAACAGTTACTACAGACTAATGCCTAACTGGGGAAATCTGTAGTTCAGTTTTCAAGCCCCAGAACTATTCAAAGTCATCCAGCAAGGCCATCTGCAGTCTCCCATACTGAAACTCAATGACTTTCCAGTGGCTATATTGCGGCCATTGGGGTGGATATGTGGGAGCACCAGAACAATCAAAGGCACCTGCAGGACAGGTCCAAAGATGTACAAGGGTGAGTAGACCATTTTTCCTTGTATAATTGATTTGTTGTTTAATAGTAATGTTATGGCAAGGCTATTGTTGCTGGTGTTTATTGCAGAATCTTGACTAAGACGATGGTGTAACAGAACACTGAGATGAACAGATAAGTAGAATGTAACAAAGCAATGGTGGTCTTTAATATCATCCAAGGAAACTAGACATTTTTCATCAATAAGTCTAGAGTAAAAGCATTGTGGATGCCTCCTTCTTGCTATGTCCTCCTCCGCCTCTGAAGAGCTGCTCCCCCAGTCATGGCTGGTTCATCCTTGCAATTGCTGCTGGGGTGCCAGAGAAGCAAAGTGGAGAAAGGGATTGCAAATAGAAGAGGGGCTGCAAAGTGTAAAGAGAACAGTTTCAAACTTCTTACAAAGAAATGATCAGCTAACTATGAACCAAGAAAATTTAAAGGCACTGGAATGAGAAATGTAAGTTCTCTAGCTTACAGCTATAGATGTTTAAGAGCTATTACATGGGAAAAATCCTGGAGAATGCTATTATAATGAACATTGTGTCGATTGGCCAGTTTGATGCTGAAACCTTGGGTCATAGTATCTCCCCACTGCACGTACAGTCGTGCTATAGTGGCCGCAGTCACTCTGCAGTCACCTCCTACAATCCTCCTTTTGTCTGGTACCTTTCCATAAAAGCTTACCTGTCTATCTTCATCATAGAATCCCTACAGTGTGGAAGCAGGCCCTTTGGCCCAACGTCCACACTGACCCATCCCCCTTTAACCCACCTAATCTACACATCCCTGAATACTACGGGCAATTTAGTGTGGCCAATCCACCTAACCTGCACATCTTTGGACTGTGGGAGGAAACTGGAGCAACCCGGACAAAACCCACGCAGACTCGGGGAGAATGTGCAAACTCCACACAGACAGTTGCCTGGCGGTGGAATTGAACCCGGGTCCCTGGTGCTGTGGGGCAGCAGTGCTAACCACTGAGCCACCGTACTGCCCACTTATCTGCTCCTCCCACC